AGCTTTATGAAATACTATCAATAATAAATGGGAAGATATCATAGAGAAAATATCCTATTTACCATATCAAGAAAAAATATAAAATACCCTAGCACTCCATAGAATAAAAATGTAAAATAAATAAATGAAGGTATTTTTGAAAAAGAAAATATATTTGTATATATTTAGAGTATGTGTGTGTGTGTATACACACATATACACACACATACACACACACACACCAAATACTTTGGCTGATCTGGGAAGCAGAAAGAAAAATAAAAAACCCAGCCTGTTTAAACCTGCTGCTAGGTATGGCAGATTTCTGCTTAAGGAGGAGGCTGATGTGAAAAAACAACTAGGAATATTTGTGTGAAGACTCTGCTCCCATCAAATTCTATGAACTGGTTTTGAGCTCTAAAAGTAATAGGATGGAGAGATAAACTGGTATAAATGATTTTCATAAATGAGGTGGTGAGATTGCAAGAACAAATACTGCTTTAAGGTCATCTCTCACCTTTGGAACACCTCATGTCTTGAGATACTCTGTGCCTCAGAATTCAATCCATTAATCTGGGCTCAGTATCTGGGAATGTTAAATAACTCTGGCTCCTAAAAATACTTGGCTTAGGGATCTCAACACTTCAGTTATACAGGTCTAGGTAGAAGTTGTCTATAATCCTCTCACCAAAGAGGGCATTAGAAATCAATCAATGGCAATAATCTGCAAATCTCTCTTTCTGTTACACTGCAATAATTAAATCAGTGTGATCCTAGGACTCTGCAGTAGAGAGATATATAAGGGAATACAGAGATCAAAAATAAACCCAATAATACATTTTTTTATTTTTTAAAAATTCTTGTATTTATTTTTAGTTGTAAATGGACACAATATTTTATTTATTTACCTTTATGTGGTACTGAGGATTGAACCCAGGGCATCACATGCACTACGCAAGTGCTCTGCCACTGAGCTACAACCCCAGATCAATAATATATTTTTTAAAAATATTTTTTAGTTATCAATGGACCTTTATTTATTGATTTTTATGTGGTACTGAGAATCTAACCCATTGCCTCACACATGTTAGGCAAGCGCTCTGCAACTGAGCCACAACTCCAGCCTCTAATAATACATTTTTAAATGAATATATTGTTTTGATTTAGATGTGAGGTGTCCCCCAAAATTTCATGTGTGAGATAATACAAGAGGATTTAGAGGTAAAATGATTGGGTTATGAGAGCCTTAACCTAATCAGTGCATTAACCCCCTAATAGGGATTAACTGGGTGGTAACTGTAGGCAGGTAGGATGTGGTTGGAGGAGGAGGGTCACTATTGGCATGACTTTGGTGTTTACATGTGCCCTTGTTGAGTAGTCTGTCTCTCTATGCTTTCTGGTGCCATGTCCTGAACTGCTCTCCTCCACCACAATCTTCCCACTGTGATGTTCTGCCTCACCTCTGGCCCAGAGCAATGGAGCTGACCATCTATGAAGTGAGACCTCTGAAACTGTGAGCCCCAAACTTTTCCTCTTCTAAAATTGTTCTTGTCTTTCGGTTACAGCAACAAAAAAACCAACTAAAACATATTAAGAGGGAGGCATTACAAATCAGTAGTGAAAATATCTATTATCAAATAAATGTTGCAGGAAAAATTGGTTAACTACTTGGAAATTTTTCTCTGTAGTTGTGTTTTGTTTGGCATTGGAGATTGAACTAAGGGGTTCAATCACTGAGCCACATCCTCAGCCCTTTTTAGTATTTTATTTAGAGACAGGGTCTCACTGAGTTGCTTAGCACCTTGCTTTTGCTGAGGCTGGCTTTGAACTCATGATCCTCCTGTCTCAGCCTCCTGAGCTGCTAGGATTACAGGTGTGCCCCCGTGCACCTGGCTACAGCTGTGTTTTTTAATTATTTTCAAACACTGGATATTAAAATTTTCCCATTCAATAGTTTAATATAAAAAATCCAGGGGCTGGGGTTGTGGTTCGGTGGCAGAGCGCTTACCTAGCATGTGTGAGGCTCTGGGTTCGAGCCTTAGCACCACACATTAAAATAAATAAAATAAAGGCATGATGTCCATCTACAACTACAAAAAAAATCTTTAAAAATTTTTAAAAATCCAAATGTTATGAAGTATTAACATTTTTTAAAGATAAAACATAAAAACATCCAGAAATACAGGCATAGTGATCCATAGTTTAAATATTTCAGGTCCTTCTAAGTAAAAACAGGATTCACAAAGAATAAGATACTTAGACTTGAAAGATATTTTAAATAATTAATGTATGAAAATTTCTCAAATCTGATGAAAAATACCAACTTAGATATATCACAGAAGCTTAGCAAACCACAAGCAGAATAAATAAAGATCAAAACTCATCAAAGTACATTAGAGTTAAAATGCTATTTTTCAATATTACTTAGATTAGTATGTTTCTTCCCCACTTCTTTAGGTGGTTATGTTATTCATTTGTAATACAGTTAATTTGTCACAGTGTGTATTCTACTTTGAGATCACACACACACTTTTCCCCCCACTTCTTATTTTTAGTTATTACTTTTAGGGGGCAATGTGAAACATAATCATGATTCTAAGAGTTAGAAATCCAAAAAGGTATACTCAGAGAAGTGTCACTCTTCCCCCTCATCCCTTCCACCCAATCTCCACTCTCCCATTCTTTCTACTCTGTACCTACCCTCTGGGTAAAAATGTCATTCATTTCTGGTTTATTCTATAGGTTAATCCTGTTCTTATTTTTGTACTAATGAATATATACACATATCTTCATATCAGGGAAATATTTCTTAAACTATACAGGAAGCACTAACCATAAAGAAAAAAAATTGTACCACATTAAAATTAAGAATGTCCACTTAGGGCTGGGGTTGTGGCACAGTGGTAGAGCACTTGCCTAGCATGTGAGGCACTGGGTTCAATCCTCAGCACCACATAAAAATAAATAAAATAAAGGTCCATCAACAACTAAAAAGAAAAAAAAGAATGCCCACTGATTAAAAGACACTACTTAAAGATTTGGGGAGGGGATAGGGGATGTAGCTCAGTAGTAGAGTACTTGTATAGTATGTACAAGGCCCTGGGTTCAATCCCCAGCACCACAAAAACTAAAATAAGCAGGGCAGGATGGTACATGTCCGAAATCCCAGCAACTTGAGGCTAAAGCAGGAGGATCTCAAGTTTGAGGCCAGTCTCAGCAACTTAGTGAGGCTCTGTCTCAAAAATAAAAAGGGCTGGGGATGTGGCTCAGTGGTAAAGCACCCCAGGTTCAATTCCCAGTACCAAAAAAAGAATTACTGTTCCCTTCTTAGATAAAAATATTTTGTTGCATTTTAAAATCATCTGTAGAATTTTTTTTAATGCAGATTGTAAAAAAATTCAGAGTCTGAGTAAATATCTCTGGGCTGGAACCCAGCCATCTGTGGCCCTGAAACTCCATAAGTGGCTCTGATGAAATGAGCCTGGATTGAAATACTACATCATTAGTAGAACAAGCCCTGTTTCATTTCTTCATTACATTTCTTGCCCAAAACATTTTTTGCCAAAGAACACAAAGCACAAGCCACTATCTTCAAAATGCAACTATCTAAAAGAATGAAAATGACTTCTACCCACTCCCCATTTCTCAGGTTTGGCTATTTCACCATTCAAAAAGCTTCTATGGATCAGTAAATGCTTTAATAAGTTTCATACATGTGTACTCAAATCATTCCATTAAAACAATCATTCTTTCACCACTTTGAAGGATGTTTACAAATTATTTAAAATATGCTCCTAGATACCATATATGTTTTAATTACAGCAAAAAAAAATTAGCCCAAATTAAAGAAAAATAAGTTTTTAGGTCTGGCCTCTACCATGGAAATAACAACAGCAGGTCTTAATTTGAAGAGAAATACATGCCTTGCAAATAATTGTAATATTAAAATCATTTTTGAGGGCTGGGATTGTGGCTCAGTGGTAGAGCGCTCGCCTAGCATGGGCGGGACCTGGGTTCGATTCTCAGCACCACATTAAAAAAAAAATAAAGGCATTGTGTTGTGTCCATCTACAAAAAAGATATTCTCTCTCTCTAAAAAAATCATTTTTGAACCACATCTATATCACCTGTCTTTGGTTCAGAATGACTACATAGAGACAGATTATAGTGTCTTAGTCTGTTTTATGCTGCTATAACAGAATACCACCGACTGCATAATTTATAATGAACAGAAGTTAATTTGGCTAAGGGTTCTGGAGATCTGGAAGTTCAAAATCAAGAGGCCATGTCTAGTGAGGGCATTCTTGCTACATCATATGTAAGTAACATGGCTAAAAGTATCCCATGGTGAGAGACATGTTCAAAAGAGATGATGGCTGAATTCATACTTTATAAGGACACCACTCCAAAGATAATTAACTCACTCCCAAGATAATGGCATCAATCCATTCATAAGGGCAGGACCTCCTATGACATAATTACTTAAAGGTCCCACCCCTCAACACTGTTGCATTGGGAATTAAGTTTTCAACACATAAACTTTGGGAAACACATTCAAACCATAGCAGACAAACAGGAGAAAGAGAGAAAAACACAGATATGTTGGGGCCAACTGTATTTAATCTGCCATTTTCACTGAGATCTACTGCCTGAAATACTCAAGATATTTTTTATTTCTCAATACAAAATTTTTGTGGGTGAAAAATGAGATATACTTTACTAAGCTACTATTGTACAGCAAGGACTTCAAGAGAAGGTATTCAACAAATGCATGGTCAATGAAATCTAATTCAGTTTTTTGAAAAGTGAAAAAATTAATTAATGCTGATTTAGCAGATACCATCAAGAGAAGAAAAAAGTCAGTTGTACTGATTTCACTAGTTGTTAGGTGTCACACAGGAAAGAGAGGTAAGCATCTTTTTAACTTCTTAGCATTCTCCCATCTTCAGGATTTATATTTCTTGATGAGGGCAATTCAATATTTAATGGTCACTTTTGAAAAGACTAAAGTTTTTGCTTACCTGGATCTTCCTTACGTGCTTGTGAACAGTTTTCCAACATGAAGGTAAAGAAATTGGATAACTGAACAAAATAAAAAGATTAATCAATTAATGAACCCTAAGCAGCTACTGTGACAAATACTGTTGGTGGTCTGTGCAAGTTCCTTACTCTTTTGGGGAACTCATCTTCTAGTTGCTTCATCTACTAAGGGTCACACCTATCCCTGTCCTTGAAGATGGGCAACACTGTACTCAGAGTCACTGAGGATATTACATGTACATCTCTCCTGGAAGGTTGCCCACAGACAACAACTGGTTGAAACAAGAGTGTAACAGCCCAGTCCCCTGCCTCCTGACCCCTTTATAGGACAAAGTGTGATGCATTTCACACTTGAAAGCTCCTGGTGGGATCAAGCTAAGGTCAGACTTCTCTAGAAAGCACATTTTTGCTTGGCTTCTTCTACCATCATATCTTGATTTTTTTCACTGCCTTATTATAGGTTTTTTCTGAAAACATTCTCTCAATAAGTCACTTGTACCAGAATCTCTCTCTCAGACTCTGCTTCTAGAAAGTCCAATCTAAGACAGCTACTAAATTTTGTTGATTATAATCTCCTCTTTTCTCTTTAGTGGTAAGATTAAATAGTGCTTAAAAAGATAGCCAACACTGTGAGCTCCTAATCAGGGAAAAGGGAGCATCTGATTGAATTCCAAGAGGAAATATAGCAATTTAAATATTTTTGAATTTTTGATTTATTTTTAAAAATTATAACATGATACATAAATATGATTGTTAGGTTAGTCCTTTTTTCTTTGGGTTTCCCCCCTAGTACTAGGGATTTTGGGAATTGAACCCTGAGCCTTCACACATTTGCCACATGCTCTATCACTGAGCTACATCTCTAGCCTGAGAAGTCCTTTCTAACACCCTTTCCTATTTATTAATATCACTCTTGTCCCCAGAACTAACTCCTATAAACAATTTGCTATATATCTTTTTCCAGAATTTTGCTGTATATTTAAATTTTTTTTAAGTGGGGTTGAACCCAGAGGTGCTTAACTGCTGAGCCACATTCCCAGCCCTATTTTATATTTTATTTAGAGACTGGGTCTCACCGAATTGTTCAGGGCCTCACTAAGTTACTGAGTGAGGTTGGCTTTGAACTCTCTTTGATTCTCCTGCCTCAGCCACCCAAGCCATTGGGATTACAGGTGTGAGCCACCATGCCCAGCTGTATATTTAATTTTCTTTCACATATATGGGATTAAACTCTACATACTATTCTGCAGGTTGATTTTTTTTAAATCAATAACTACATTAGAGATCATTCCAAGATTTTTTTTATTGTTAAAAAGTTCTCATTTTTAAAGTTGGGCATGGTGGTACACACCTGTAATCCAAGTGAGTCAGGAGACTAAAGTAGGAAGATTGCAAGTTCGAGACCAGCCTCAACAACTTAGTGAGACCCTGTCTCAGAATAAAAATAAAAAGGATGGGGGATATGGCTCAGTGGTAAAGTGCCCCTGGGTTCAATCCTTAGTACCCCCTCCCCCCCAAAAAAAGAAAAAGCACCCCTTTTTTTTTTTAATGAATCCTTATACAAGCTTTTAGAATGTTCACAGATTTGTTCCCTAGAAATTCTTCCATTTTTTTAATTCCTCAAAATATTTTTTCCCTTCATAAAGCAACAACTTTTCACTAGGGTATATCCCCAAAAATAGATTAACGCTATTTTTATTAGTTAGCTAGACATCTGGCAGCCCTTTGGAAAATGTGAACTTTGAGACTGAAAAACACCATCCTCTTCCAAAATCACACACTTTCTCAACAGCTAGTTCTAAGCTCTATTAAAGCTTCCTCAACTTAAAATTGACCCAAACTTTCATTCTTTCAGTAACAATGAATAAAGAGAAATACTTTACAAAAAAAGGAGATACAAGTTTGCAAAACAGACCTGCATTTGACCATGTTCATCAGCATATTCGATGGACTGGAAGATGGCAAGGGCATAGTGTTGTCTGGCCTTCAGCCGAGCTCTGTAACCTCGGTACCAGTTCTGGATGACTAAGGTGGCTTTTAACACTACAGAACCGCAGGATACAAAAGCCAGAGAAAAACAGTTATTATGCAGCTCTTAGAGGGAAGTAGGTGCTTCAGCAAAAAACAATCAATCCACTTGGGTTCATAGATTCTTAGAATATAAAAACTGCAAACAATGAGAATGACCTTTATATTTTTTATAAAATGTCCTCAAGTCTCAAACACTTAGAGAATAATGATGGCATAGCCATTAAGAGTAGAATTTTTGAGTAAGACTGCCTGAATTTGAATCCCAGCCCTGCTAATTACCATCTATGTAACTTTGGATAAGTTATTAAAGCTTCTCGAAGCCTCAGTTTCTTTATTTGCAAAATTGTAGATGATAACAGAACCCACCTCTGGTGCCACTTAGGAATATTCTACTCTTCACTATATACCCCAAAGAAATATCTACACAGTCCCATAAAGGAGACATATGAAGATGCAACAGCAATAAGGAGTTTGATACCAAAGCAGCCTGGCTATCCATTGCTAGAACAGGAATGTGTTCCTGTGGTGGATACACACCACAGTGTATCATGCCACAATTGGAAATATAGATTACATAAACCCATAGTAATGTGGGGAGGTCTTTGAACATAGTGCTTCCATCAGAATCATTTTTTAAAGTCAGAAACAGAATGAAATATAACATAACACCATTTAATATCTTTTAAAAATATACATACACAAAGCCATAATGTACATTTCTTAACAGTATATGCAAAGGAAAAGATATGCACTACACAAAATGATTGGTTACTTATAGGGGAGGTGCATGAACATGGGGTAAACAGACAAAAGAGAATAAAGTAATTAACATAAGGAAAGGGTCTTGCATGAAGAACTGATGGCAATATACAATGAATTGAGAAGTTTGACTCACTCTACCTCTGTGCCTGAGATTCTATTGAAAAAGATGGATGAATAAATAAACACAACTCCCTCCTTCACACAGTTACTATAGGACAAAATGAGATACTATGGGGTGAAAAGTTCAGCCCGATGCCTGGTATCAAGTACATGCTAAATAAATGGCAACTGTATTGTTTTGAACCACCCTGTGGTTTCACAACATTAAAGAAAGAGATCAGGTGAGAGGATAATGAGATTTAAAATATAGTCTCTTATGCCTCCTCAAGTTTTAGAGTGAAGAGCATCAACAACAGCTGCCTCCTTTTATTCATGCTATAATTTTCCCAGTTAGCTCATAAAAATTAAGAGCTGACTGTAACAAGAACAATTTGAGTTCTGAAAGCAGAAGTCCTGCCTTCAGTTTTGGTTTGTACCATGTGATACAGAGTATCCACCAGAATGTGGTCATATAAGAATGGTTATTTATGAGCTTCCCCAAGGTTCATGGGTTCTAGAGACTCTTATTTTATTATTCAGCTTCCAGAAAACTTGGGGAAATAGACCTAAGGTCAAGTACCATGATCTTTATAAGAAAAACTCACAGGGAGAATAATTCAGTGACTGTTCAATATTTCAAGGCAAGTAATTGGTAGTACCATGGCCAAAATCTCCAGTGTTTTCACAATATCTTTATGGAGTGCCCAGGCTCTCCTGAAAGGCCTGTTGTGTGGAATAGTCATCATCATGATGAACCAACCCTCTCTCCCCAGGGATTATTGTGTTTACCAAGTACAATAGTGCTATTCTAGTGCTATTTACTGAGCACTTACTGAAGTCAGGCAATGTATTAGTTCTTACAGTCCTTGCAACACTGTTAAGTTGAGACAGACTCAGAAACTTACTTAAGCTTGCTTAGTCAGTAAGTGGAAATGGGAAGCAAGGATCTGAACCCAGATCTGACTGACTCCATAGCCCAAACTTTTAACATCCATGGAGCTATTGACCTTTTTCTATACCTCTGTTTCTTCACCTATACAATGATGTTGTAGAAAAAATGATTGCTGAAGTCTCTTCTATTTAGTATTAGCAACATCAATAACAGCCAATCTTATTCTTTCTAATTAATAGGACAACTAGCTATATATGTTAGTCTACTATAAGACATTCAGTGCCCATAAGTATTATCATCACCATATTATAATAAGGAAATTGAGTTCAGAGCAGCAAGTATGTTAATAAAGGTCACTTACCTAATATAGACTCAGGTACTAAGTCCAAACCCTGGGTTCTAACTCCACTAGAGCCATTTACTTCATTTCCTACGCCATTTGTACTTTTCCTTCTTTTGAATAATAAAAGCCACCATTTGTTGAATGCTTACTATGTGCCTGGCACTAGCTGAACACTTTACATATATTACCCTTTCTGCTTCTCCACTACATGGGGAGAGAGGTCAGCTAAATCTTTTCTACCATCTCTGCCTGGCATCTGTTAATTCCCTTACTGGAATCCACACCCGACTCTCCACACAAGGAATCACTATTTTGTTTGTAAGTACACGACACATTCATTGGACTCTATTCTACTAGTGGATGTAGATACTATGCCTTGGAAGGTAGACAGCCATGCTCAGATTCCTCTATCTTGCACTTCCTCTTCTACTTCAAAGTCAGGAAGCTTAACTACCACTTAGGAATCAATCGCCTATCTATACCTGCATTCCTGTACCTGAGCACGATACCACTTATCAAGCTATCCTATCTCAACTCTAGTCAGCTCAGCAACTGAGGTGGGACTCTGCAGACCCCATTTCGGCTTTGCCAGCTGCTCCCTGCAATACAGGGAGACTGCCAGACCAGATGAGGGACAAGGGACAAACTCCTTTTATCTACTTCCTGTTCGTCTTGGCTAACCTAGCAACTGCTACTTGCCCCCAGAAGCAACAGTTGGTTCCTGTTTGCAGTTTACCCAGTGCTTGCAAAAAAATGGCCTTATGGGCAGCCCTTTGACACCAGGACCAGCTAAGCAGTACTCCTTCTCAACCTGCTGAAGTTCAGTTCAGCAGAACCCCCCCTCCAAGTTTTTAACATGGAATCATTCCAGTCTTTTCCCTTTGTTTTATCAACGCTAGCAGTGGTCCTTTTCTGCAATTGCTATCCTTATATACTTCAGGGTTCTCAGTTACCTAGTAACAACTGGATACCTATTTGTCAATTCTTCAAATTCTTTGTTCAAAATCACCTTGTAGCTGGGCACAGTGGTGCATGCCTATAATCCCAGTAGTTCAGGAGGCTGAGGCAGGAGGATTGTGAATTTAAAGCCAGCCTCAGCAAAAGCAAGGTGCTAAGCAACTCAGTGAGACCCTATCTCTAAATAAAAATACAAAATAGGGCTGGGGAAGTGACTCAGTGGTCAAGTGCCCCTGATCAATCCCCAGTACCAAAAAAAAAAAAAAAAAAAAATCACTCTATAGCTTCAACCTCCTGACTAGACCCTGCCTGATAAGCTTAGTCTCAGTGAGGTGGGAAAAACAGGTTCTGCATAGGTCTCAAGCTCCCAACTTCCCAATTGCTTTCCAATTCAGTCCTCAACTAGATTTCAGCAAAGGGATTTTGAGTACCCGTGCAGTGATTGATAAAATGGACTTTGATCTAGATCCTGCTGTTATCCCTTAGGCATATAGTTCCCCTGGAAATATCTCCAAGACAAGGAAAGAGGCCAGCAGGCCAGGACTGGGCAAACCAACATGAGGCCTCTAAAAAACCTTACCTGATGCCTAAGAACCCACCTACCTACTGCAGGGCAACATGGCCAGCTCCTCTGGAACAGAAACCTCCAAAAAGTGGTAAGGGATAAAACCCAGATATGACATACCCTACTTGAGGAGATCACTGGCTCCAACAGTCCCAACCCTGCCCAGACAGTTGAAGATCTATGTCATCTAGATCTTAACTTGTTAGACAGCTTAAATTCACTTCAGGTCTCGTTGCTTCATTGTGTAACAGGGCTTGTCCTCCCTGTTGCATTAATTCCACACAGAAAAAAAAAAAAGCTATTATCATATGCATCCCAAGAGAAGCAACAACATAGGTTTAATAAGTTGTCTGGCCAATTGTATGTGCTTAGCACAGGTGGTTTCTCTATTACTAAGCTGTTTTTTTTTTTTTTTTTTTTGCTGTATTTTTTAGTAGATTATTTTCTCCAGTGGCAATCATTATATTTTGCAAGAAATTAAATATCCAGGTAAGGAGTTAGTAAATAATACTTTCAGAGTCCTTGCTTTATGTCTGAAACCATGCTTGGTGTTTTATGTGGATCATCTAATTCAATTTTTTAATTTAATACTCCCAACAATTTTATGAAGTATCATTAGCCTTATTTCACAGATAAGGAAACTGAGTCCTAGAAATAATTTGCTTGGGATTACATTGCTCATCAATGAGAGAATGTAGAGTCAAATCTAGATCTCTAATTCCAGAACTTGGGCTCATAACCACTGTGTTATACAACCCACCAAGACATTTGAAATAAGCCATAAAAAAATGAGGCAGTACCACCTTCACCACCTGATATTCTATATGGTCACATGTTCATGTGTTCACTGTCTGTCTTCTACTATTAGCTATGAGAATAGGAACTTTGTTTTGTCCACTGCTACATCCCCAGTACCTGGGAAAAGGCCTGGCATTGGATATTTGTTGGACAAATAAACAAATGAATACCTTCCAGTACTGTTGTAATAGTACATAACAATGTATTAGTAATGTGTTGACACACGTATTACTAATATATTGATTGATTGATATAAAATGCTTAATACATTGCTTGACATATAGGAAGCACTCAATGAATTGACACTTTTTAAAAATTGTCTCTCTCCAGGATAACAAAGTCTAGAGCCCCAAAGAGTTCCTAATTACACATACCATTTCATTAGAAATTTTACAATCTGCCATGGACAAACAGGCTACTGAGCACAAGAAGAGCCACGCCAACCAGCACAGGATTTATTCCTTTATAGTCCACAGTCTTTACTCAGATGCTACCTTCTCAGTGAAGCCTTTCTAAGTATCCTTTTTTAAATGGCACTCCTCCCACCATCACCAGTCTCTTTGTTTTTTTTGTTTGTTTGTTTGTTTGTTTTTAAT